TATTATATTTTCGTACATAAAAAATATCGAAGTTTAAATAGATAGTTTCTAATATCTCGTCCACGTATCCCATAACTGATCACTTTTCCTCTCCAATCCCCATGTGCATCTCAATATAATGAACCACATAACCACAATAATTAATAGGTAAGAAAAATATATGCCGATAGAGGTAACATCAAAGTACTTGCTACAACAGGGAGAGGCAAAGTCTTGAGATTAGGTCTCATCGCTTCTATTTCTCCCATCGAAATCTGAGGATATAATTCAATCAATGAGGATATATGTGCTTTAGCACTAGCTCCACTATTATTATCACATCGTGCAAGATGCGGTATCACATTTTGAGGCATAGCTTCTGATATATTAGGTTTTATTGGCATACTACCTTCACTAATTTCGCTAATGCTAGTCTCATTTTTTGGTAGTTCAGTAATCTCACCATCGATTTTTTCAGCTTGATCCATACTTTTTTCCGTGTACAAAATACTTACTTAGATTTTTGCTAGATTCATTAATTGCAGATATATCGTTAGGCTTGGTTATATTTTTTTCGTCATCTTCACCAATTCTTGCAGAGCAGGTCATATTGTAGAACAATGGCACTTGTGTGTCTAGGCGATTTTCTGAATCATGAATCAAAGAGCCTATAGATCCTGATATATCCTCAGGTTTCAGACGCTCCAATTCACTAATTTTTAAAGCTAATTCAACTATCTTAGACTTGAGAGTGTCAATTTTGGACCCTTTCTTTGATGAGTCTTTCTGAGATAAATCTAGCTTATCTTTCAATAATTTCATCCCATTCTGAAGTGATTTAATCTTCTCTAATTTTGTAGCATGCTTAGCTTTGGATTTCGCAAGAGAGATATCTTTGCGAGTATTTTCAATCTGTAGACGTCTAGTTTTATTAATAAGCTCCAGATCATGAGTGCGTAATTTCTGGATCTCAGTATTAGCCCTCCCGGTTTTTTATTCTACTTCTTTCTATCCCGATCCCATCTCTTTCTTTCTTAATCAAAATTCTCTTCTTGCTTTATATATTTATTCCGCAATTCACTGTTATAGTTACATAATTTACAAGAAGATTGGAGAATATGATATATTTCTTCCTCAAAGTCTTTCACATACGTTATATCAAATAATAGATAATATAATAAAAAAATCAATTAAATATTGAATAAATCGAATATTTACTGAAATAGAATTAAATGTTAACCGAATAAAGTTAAATATTAACCGATATATCTAAATCGAATATTTACCGAAATAGAATTAGATGTTAACCGAATGATCTAGATATATCGAAACAAAATTAGATATTTACCAAACAGTCTAGATATGTATCGAAACTAGATTGAAAATTTTTTGAATTTATATCTAAATATTTTTTTATTTTTTATAAATAGATCATGACTCAAAACTCTGAAAAAATAATTCGATATCTGCGATCTGATGCAACTTCTTTATCAGATAATAATATACAAGATATCATTAATGCCAGAAATTCGATGAAACGTGCATCAGAAGCTATGGCCATCAAATATAAAATATCAACAAGGCGTGTATATCAAATATAGAGGGAAAACCATCTTTCAATAGATCCTAGGGAAGTGATATCGCAATCAAATATTGGTAGAGACAATACTCGATCTATTAATCACATTACACATTCTGTAAAAACTCCTATCGTTACTTTCGATATACAGATAAAGAGGAAAAAACTGAGATCTAAGACTAATCAAATTTCTGACCCATCTAATATTATCACCGGGAGGAGTTACATATTGGATAGTAAAGTTAATACTGCTGAAATTATAACAAAAAAAGATAACCTATATACTTTAATCGAACGTAATTGTAAAGAAACAGAAGAAGCTGAGCGTGAAACAGAAAGAATTTTGAATTTCAACTAATCTATCTTTGCTTTCTCTATATCGATATTGGTAATCATTTCATTTAAGTTATCAGATTCGTTTTTATAGCCACTGTGTGACTGCCTTCGGCAAACCTGCAACTTTTTATTAAGTTCGAGTAATTTATTATTAGAATCGAGTATTGTATATAGCAATTTTTCTAACTCCTCATAACTCATGCATTTTTTTTTAGCACTTTTGGTGCTTGCTTTGCTAAAGTTAAATTGACAGAATCTAAGCTAAAATTTGCAGGAGCACACCACTCATCAAATGGTATACTGTCATCCTCATCCTCATCTATCTTCTGAGAAATTTGAACTGATATCAAAGGCTTACTATCTTGAACTAAATTTGTGCAATTTACCTCAAGTTTATTCTTGATCTTATGTATAGTAACCGGAATGATGTGATCCTTTCCATTAAAAGGAATTTTCAGCTCATTTTTATCCCAATCCATAGCACATTT